TTTCTATTGGATTCTAAACATGTAAAGTACTCCAAGACATTAGACTTTTATTAGAAAACATTTCACTAGGCAGAAGAGATAAAACAATCCTTACAAAAATAGGCAGTATATAAAGTATAATGTAATATATCTCGTCAGTTTAACACCTAGAAACAAACATGCTAATTTTCTATTGGATTCTAAACATGTAAAGTACTCCAAGACATTAGACTTTTAGTAGAAAACATTTCACTAGGCAGCAGAGATAAAACAATCCTTACAAAAATAGGCAGGAGGTTATCATGTGATGTATTTTTCTCAGAAAATTATGTACAATTTTATAACATTACGAGGTAGTATATTGTTTTCGTACTTGTATTGTCACATCTCCATAGGTCTACCAGGTCCTCGAGGAAGAAAGGGAGAACCAGGGACGCCTGGAAATCCCGGTAAGTGTCCTTTCTTCGTTTTATGATTGTTTCACTATGTGAGAGAATAAATTACGAGAAATAAAAAGTTCAAAAATCGTTGACACTATTTTCTCATCCGCCACATTAAACTTCAATTCCGAAAAAAAGTGTTCTGTAAGAACCTAAAAAACACAGAGTAACAAATAAAATATTCATAAATCATGTTTTAGCTTCCTGTTATCATTAACTTTTGATCAAAGCAATCTTCTTACAAAGACCAGAACTAAAACTTAATCTAGTAATGAACATAGCTAATTTAATATACCGTTCTTACTTTTGGTGATTAGTATGCATTGATTCGTCAGTTGGGTATCGTATCTGTTAGCTAGTTTTTGGCAGTAATCTTAATAACATCTCACTATGTTCGGCCCACTTAGGAGATTCAGGATAGTATTAGATCCATAAGCTATGCAAAGTAATACTCATAATAAAAAAAATACGTAATAAAATTTAAAATGATAAATATCTTTATTACACATTTTAGCCCATAAAAACTATGTATAATTTGATAACCTTACAAGGTAGTATATTGTTCTTAAACTGTCTATAATTTTATTTCACGTAATAACCACTTGTCATTGTTTTAGTACTTCTCTTATCCTTGTAATAGTCTTGTACTTCACTCAGAAAAAGTCTTCGTATACTGCATTCCTTGCTTGCTCTTGAGTCGTTCTCCTGCTCTCATCCTCATTTAAGGGCAAGTCGTCGGATACACTCTTAAATTTACCGCTCCTGTACGAAGACGTACTTCTCTTTGCGCGTTTGGCAGTGCCTCCCTTGTCTGTGGTTATAATGTTAAGAAATCACTAAGTATGTTTCATTGGTCAATTTAATTTAAAGGTGTTATTATTTAATTTATAGTTTTGTGGGTATCATATACAAATATATATATATATTGGTGCTCCAAATGGATACAGCTAAAAAAACTTCCACAATGGGAAATTCCACCAAAATAAAAATCTTAACTAATGGATTTTTGAACAATAATTTTATCTCTTCAAAATGTGCAACTTGGAAGGGATTTCCAACTGTAAATGGTCGTCAGTTTATTCAATGACGATACTGCCCAGACTAATGCATGAATTATATGTAAATTTTATTTCAAGACAATTCACTTAGTAACCCTCTTTTTTTATCTTTGAGCCCAACCTAATGCTAACAAGTAAAGAAAAACTTTTCAAAAAAGGAAGTTAGTGTAGGGATGGGTAATATCAACCCTTCAAAAACAATGCAAACAAGATAGTAGGGATGGTATTTGTATCATCCTTACATAATAGCACAGGCACATAATGTAGTCGAATGTTAAAAGACAAAAATAGGATAAATTAAACTCAACTGTGATTGAATAGTAATATATATTACTATATGTTATCGCCTGTGGGGAGGTGCAGTTCTAAACGAATAAAAGTTTTCTGACAATCAATTAAAACGCTTTAAAATATTATTCAAAAACTTCTCACAATAATAAGTACTGTATTGTACATAAAAAAACATACAAACCACAAAATAAGATTGTTTGCTGTGTACTACAAAATCAAGCAATAAGGATATTTCAGATAATAACCAATATAGACATCATACAAGTACACAAAAGGTTACTACCAGCGTAATGTTTCGAATTTGATTTAACAAACAACAACTGTAGTCTCCTTTCACTTTGGCTGGAAATGTCAGCCAACTGCATGGAAAAGGACTAAATACAGAATTGTTGTCAGAAAAAATATTGGAAAGCCCAATGATATACGGACCCATTAATTTAATTATTAGGGGTATCTGCCTTCCACCTTCGCTCCCTGCATTATGACGTCTTTGGTTATAATGTTAAAATGTATCTGTTAATACTTGACAACATAAAGAGGTGGTTTGTTGTTCTTAGACTCTGTATAGTTTTGTCCCCCAGTGGCACAGCGGTATGTCTGCGGACTTACCACGCTAGAAACCTGGTTTCGATACCCGTGGTGGGCAGAGCACAGATAGCCCATTGTGTAGCTTTGTGCATAAATTCAAACAAACAAACTGTATAGTTTTATACTATCTTCTTAAACTGTCTATAATTTTATTTAGGTTACCATGTGATATATTCTTCACAGAAAACTATGTATAATTTGATAACATTACAAGGTAGTATATTGTTCTTAAACTGTCTATAATTTTATTACGTTACCATGTGATATATTCTTCACAGAAAACTATGTATAATTTGATAACCTTACAAGGTAGTATATTGTTCTTAAACTGTCTATAATTTTATTTAGATTATCATGTGATGTATTCTTCACAGAAAACTATGTATAATTTGATAACATTACAAGGTACTATATTGTTCTTAAACTGTCTATAATTTTATTACGTTACCATGTGATATATTCTTCACAGAAAACTATGTATAATTCGATAACCTTACAAGGTAGTATATTGTTCTTAAACTGTCTATAATTTTATTACGTTATCATGTGATATATTCTTCACGTTTAACAGTAAAAGCAACATTAAGTATAGCTAGACGTTAGAACGAATGGTTCTGATTCAAGTGAAGTGAGAAGATAGCTTAGAAAGAAAATATTGGTAGCTTCCAAACAACCTATAAAGTTAGATAATTTATATTGTCACGAAGCATTAGAAATAATTTAGACACTCATTAGTCTTAGGAGAAAAAGGTCACAGTTATGAGATGCTTTTTATTCACTTAGTAGTATTTTATTTGTATCTCAGTCGTATTGATAGTTTATTTTTGTTAGCTTTTTTTAATCTTAAAAATTAGATAACAAGATACAATGTAAGATAGTAATGCTTGACGTGAAACATTACATTATCATTAGCACTCTTTAAGTTTTTCTTAGTACAGTCTCAATATCAATTTAATCGTTTTCTCTTATTTATCAATTTAACAAATATTCTCTGACTCAACGACGGTTTTTTTTTGTTGTTTTTTAATTTCGCGCAAAGCTACACGAGGGCTACCTGCGCTAGCCGTACCTAATTTAGCAGTGTAAGGCTAG